CTTGAAGTCTATTTGATGAATAAATGAAAATGATGAAAAACAATTTGATGAAAAGCAACAGGAATGTTGTGCAATAGAGCTGGGTTTCTAACACGCGACCTCTGCATCGAGATGAAATACTACCGTCACCACCAATTCCCAAATTAAAATGAACCGATGAGAACTCATTGCTAAATTTTGAAGGTGAAAATCGCACAGACGTGCTGATTGCGTTTTGAAAACAGCTCAACATTCTCTAAACCAGTTGTGGAGCAAAATAAATTAACAGGAAGTATGGTAGCGAGAATCTAACAAACGCACCTTTTGACGATGCGCAGCGTGATAGAATTTCTCCGCTGCCGTAGCGTACTCGGATGTGCGAGCGAGTAAGATAAGACCGGAATAGTCAGCTGGCAGGGCTTCCACAATGAATAGACTGGGAATAGCACTGGGCTCCGTCTCAACCTCGGTGCAGGTTCTGGTGCGTTTGGACTTGTGATTAAATACTGTTTGCGCTGGTTCGATTTTGTAATCGGTCCAACGTGGATCCAGAAGCTTGGCCAGAGATGGCAGGCAATCTTTGATTGATAAAGCAGAACTCTGGGGAGGAAGTAAAGTTAAGCGGAAGGTGTTCTCCCAATGCCTATGGGAAACCAAAGAGCACATTATTTTGCAAAGCAAACAAAACACTCAAATACCTTCCGAATTTACTAAGAAAAACAAACTTTAAACGCAATACGCAGCAATGAAAAAGATAAGATAAATGAACTGAACTGTCTCATTACTGTAGACCACATCAAGCATGACCAGTCTGTGATTCAAACTACTGGAAGGCAACACGGTAGGATTCTGAACAACTTTAGTCAGTTGAATGGGTACAAACGGTTGTCAATCTTTTGATTTTTACTGTTCTTTAAGATGACGTAAGGAGGCTTAAGAGCCAAGTATTTGGCGATGCGTAAATACACTCAGGTGTCTGAAATTTCGCATCATTAGGCCGACCGAAAAAGTATGGCATTTAAAAGGCCACTCTTTATTAAAGACCGGATATCATCAGTGGCAAAAATAAGAGTAGTACGTAAAGTAGAGAAAGAAATCACGGCTCTCTCAACAGCTGACGTGTAAGACTCCGAGATTGATTTGATCAGGGACACATGATGCCAGTTGTGATTAAGGAACAGTTTTGACATAATTAAATAAACAAAATAGCATGTCTGTTGAGAATTAATCTGCCGCTATGAAAATGTTAACGTCTAATTAAAAGCACAACGTGACAATGAAATATTGTAACAGAATAAACACCATCTGGATTAAATCATCCAAGATACATTTACAAACAAACGGGGGTTTCTCAATTGCTAATGTTCGTGCACTATTACCCCAGAAACTCCGTTTCCTTTGGTGCTGGCAGGTTAATTGGACGGTGAGCGTTCCGTTGGGGTACAGGTATAAAATCAGGTTGGGTTTGTACACAGGTAAACTTTGTAAAGAAACCATTCGCAAGTGGACCAACATGACCAGATATAAACGAGAAGCTTTTGCAACCCATCTGCTTCTTCTTACCGCATCGAATCGATATGCGAATGATTCGCCAACACAGTTCATTCCATTATAGTCGGAGCCAGTCCCAGAACAATCGATTCTCATTTATCTCTTCCATCCAGTTTTCATCAGCGCAAGAAATAAAATTGTCGAACGAACAAATAGCGGCATGTAAGTCATTTGTGCAGGGTGTTTTTAGCTCAAACCAAAACAGGGCGAATAATCCCCATCATCTGGAGGAAATCTATGCTACACGCGTTTGATTTGTAATTTGTAGTTCGAAATGGCGATGACACAATTATTGCAGCTGCGCAATGGAAAAAGTACTTACGATTATCAAGGGAAAAGGACGGAGGGGGTTCAGTTGCATGTGAACAACACCCGCGGGGACTGTATGCGTGTGTGTGTGTTAGTGAATACAGATAAGATAAGTGCACAGTTGGACAAAACTCACATGTTTGTGCAAAACAGACAAGGCCTCTTGTTTGGTTAACGAATGACCCCAAACAGAAAGACCCGCTGGTTTATCGATCACCACAAAATGTTCGTTCGAAGCCACAATCCGCTTGGACAAGAATGTGGCCAGTTGATGTGTTGTGGTCCACGTATTGCTCATATGCGGCAGTATCTCGGATGTGTGTAGACATGCCTCAACCTGTTCGGGGCCGGAGGAAGCTGTGGATAGACAGTTGGCCACAATCGGACCAAACTGTCCACGTGAACACAAACGGCGAGACGAAAATACCGATTTGTAAGCGGTTAACCGAATTGTCTGAATCGAGTTCATCATAATCACGAGTGCTATAAGCAAAACCAAAACCAGGTAATTAGGTTCGAACCGAAATACAACAAACACATTGGTAGAACAGCGTGACAAACAAAAGAGAACTATAAGTTTACGATACAGGAACAGAAGTCCGGTTCATGTTTACTTGACCCTCCCTCCCCCATAAAAAACAAAAACATCCTCAACGACGACCCCTCAAAGCACAAATCATCAGAACACTCTTCTTAATCTCAGTCAATGGCTGACAGCAATGTCATTTCCCGAAGAAACAATAATACCCGCATTCCCGGAGTTGCCGCAACGCTATCGGCCAATGTAACACGTCAATCCTTACTGAGTTAAATAAATTCGATATCGTTGAATTTCCCGTTTCTTTGGCTTATCTAAATAAAACCAATTTATATATGGAGAGGTGTGTCGACAATTTGAGGGAGGGAAGGAGAGTGAGAAGCTTTGTAAAACGAATATCCTGATCTGATAACCATAGCGATCTTGTGTGAAACTGCGGCAATCGCTGTGTCACGGTGACTAAAGAATGGACAAACAGGCTTTAAACCATAAGCGAACGGATCGTTTATCGTGAATATGCCTTAACAGTATAAACGATATATACATTTCATAATAAGTAGTATGTGAATGAGTGGACAAAATTTCCCTGGAAGCACACGACCGGTTTCGCGGTTCTTGCCGCTCGTCAGGCATCCGTATCCGGTAATCTTTTGTCAGTTCATTCATATACTTGTACCCAGGAAGTGTATTTTCGTCACAATAACCTTGTTTGCAACACCGGACAACCATTGGATAGACAACTCTTTCAGAGCATTGATTCTTCATATAAAAAAATATAAATCTTTTAGTGAGCACCACCACAAGTAATTCAAATGAACATGGGACGAAATTCGCCCTAAATAGACGGGTTACTATGCACACGAGAGAAAAAGGTGGAACGAATCTTGTGGAGAAATAGTAATTTTTGGGTTGATTCTGTCTATATGAGGAGTCTGTTTGATTTGTCGAAGCTGAATTCATCTCATTGTCACTGTTTGTATGATTATTCTACGTTTCACGCGTTAGGTTTCGTCGGAACAGAAGGGGCGAATCTTTTCTATCAAATCGGAATGTGAATTGAATGTTGTTTTTCATAACCTCTGACCCATACGGAGTGAAAGGTGGACTACCCTACCAAAGGTGAAGCTGTCAGTAAGACACTACCTATGTTGGTAGAACTCGGTGAGCGATTTGTATTGAAACACGCACACGCATGTATGCATTGGGGGAATAGGGCTTGGACAATACCGATATGTTAAACAAATTGGTAAGCGGTTATTCCGTTTCGTTCCCACACTTGGTACATTGGTTGTGTTGATGTCATCTCAAGATACCACTTTGCTTTAATCGACAACGAAAGAAGAACATCAGAGTACAAGTCCGAAGGCGAACAATTGTTTTCTAATGATTCATAATCGTGCCTGTACAGATCATATAAGGGTTTGTTGTTAGTGGGGACAATCCGAACAGGTTCATGAGGCCCAAAAGAAGAAGCTATGCATTCGTCTACCTTTTCAAGGAGATGCTATATCAAACCTCTTGAACAAACATATGAAGCGTGCAGGGAAGCGGACCTACAACGCAGCTCGTTTATCGTGTGTGTTCACAAACTCAGCCATCATCCGAACCAGCCACAAAGATAGACTGCCTACGCTGCCCACTTCTATGGTTATCTCCTCTTTCCGGTGCGTTTGTAATGCAACGTACGTTGGCCGCAACTATCCCAACGCATGAAGAAACACTGCCCACGCTGGTTAAAACAAGGTGGAACAGGAAGCATAGGAAGCGCCATTCTTGGTCATCTAATGGATACAGGCCATCAAATTAGACCAGAATCCGCTTTCAGCGTAATCTATCGTGNCTGGTTCAAGCTCTCCACTTACCCTGGCCCCAAATTGATCATCGACATCACCACCACCACTCCAATCACAATCAGTCTCACCCGAACACAGACACATAGGGCTTACCCCACCCCTCCCCTCTCCCCATCCCAAATGACTTTTCGACCCAGCGTGAAAATGTATCCCCACTAACAACAAACGCTTATATGATCTGTACAGGCAGGATTATGAATCATTCGAAAACAATTGTTCGCCTTCGGACTTGTGTTCTGATGTTACAGTGAAATTATTCTGGAATTTGAAAGAACAGTTGAGGTTGTGTTCAATTAGGTTATTTTAATGTGAAAAGAATAAACCTGGTGGTTTCGAGGCGTAGCCCACCTCGTAGAATGTAAATTGTACTGGTGGGTTTGAAGCCCACAGAAGTCACTGGTCACTTCAGGAGTGAATTAAAGAGGAATTGGTCATGTTAGGAATCCCGAAACGATCGTGTTCCAAAAAAATTATCAGTTATCATTCTCCATCAATAGTTTGTAATTTATGAAACAGTGGAGTAATTAACTTAAATGACCCTGGGGGGAAGTGACTACTTTTATTAAACGCTTCATGTAATATCGCAGGAAAATTGTTAGTGGCACTGTACCTTTGAGCCTATATACACCGTGCAGGCTGACCTGCAGAATCATTCATCCGGTCAGATAAAACTATGTTGTTATATTCAAACCAAATTTTCACATGTTGGTGATTAACAACGCCTGATAATGCTGAAACCGTGGAGCTCTTGTTGAACTACTCGTCGCTTATGGAGTATAGGTAGCTCTTCTAGATTTGAGTAATGATATCTCTATCTCTGGGATATATATCGGTTTTATTACATGTCAAACCACGAAATCATCCCATCATTTGGGTGCTCTCTCAGACAATGAGTCATGCTGTGGATTGCGTCACAGTGTGACCATGTCTGCATAAACGATGACACCGAATAGATAATCGAGTGAAACGGATGTATGCTTCATTTCCAAACCGTGTAAACGACAGATCGTACCGTTGAACCTTGATTTTGTTATTCAATCATCACTCGAACCATATTTTTTGTAAATGACCTGAAAAACCGAGTAGTCAAGTTGGATGGAGGCTGTATTTGCAACGTTGCAGGAAATGCCGTGTAGTCCTGTCCGAACACCACATTAGCTCACAATATTCACTATGTGAATTGTAATGGGTAAATTGAAAGAGGATCAAGCCTATTGTGGTCAACAAAGAGTTAACACTGTCTAATGTTGCACACAAAACTCTTCAAACGATTTGATCTGATAAGAAATGACAAGAACGACTTTGCTGGTGGATCATTATCATGTCTTTCTGCGTATCAAACCAAACAGATAGTCCTTTGGACCCCAGACCAAGAATATGGGATACACCTCCTCTGTCCATTTCTTCATTTCTTGTATCCACGTCATTTGTGAATCTCAAGCAGCCTTTTCTCGCATAGAGTAGAAACTGCAAACAAAGCGCGGTGCAGAATATGATAGTTTGAAATATGTAATCGGTTCTAAGCACCGAAGCCGCATCATTCCAACTCTGTGTGATAACGAATCTTCCACCATAACACTTTTCAAGCAGACGAACGTTCACTTATATAAATTCATCGACTGTTAAAAACCTCTAGTGAAAGGTAGCCTACAAGCAAACTCAGAGTCTCACAACTGTAAACCACAACTAAACGTTCTGTAGCACAAGGTCGCGACCTTTTAACTTTATTGGAAAGTCGCTTTGACGCAAAAGATGTTTCAGTTCTGCGTAAGCCGCTCGAACCTTGCAAGTGCGTGCGGTCATCTTTACCACGCTACCGCCATTCGTCGTACAACGGCCTAGGTAAGTAGATGGGTCCTCTTCAGCGGACGGTGGCATTCATTTGCTCTCAGAAGGTAGACTATCTGATCTGGATAGTGCAGATGACACTGTACTCGTAAGTGAAGATCTGGGCAAAGCGCAGGCTTTTCTGGATGGTTTGAGTGCTATTGTTGCCATATTCGGTATGGTTTTTATACCTTCAAAGTGTACAATGTTGCCAAAGGACTGGGTAGGTCCAGTTGCTAACCTCAATCTTAATGGGGAAGAAACAGAGGTAGTGAACAAATTTTTCCTTCTGGCGGGTTCACCAAGGATTGAGCCTCGGCTCCCAAACAGAGAGCTCGACTGGCTTTCACCAACGTAGGATGCCGTCGCGGTATCCGGCTGTATGTGAAAAGTCGAGTGTATACCATAGTAGTTCGGACAGATCTGCTACACGGCGCAGAAACTTGATCCCCGAAACAAGGTGAAAGTAGATTTTCGCTGTTCGAACACCACCGTCTATGCCACACTGCACGAGTTTGGCGGAGAAAGGAGACAGACAATGCTGAGGTTAAGCGCAAAGGCTTAGATATTCGCGGTCGCCCACTGGAGCAAGTGGTCGACCTCAATAGAATATGTTGTTTGGGGCAGATGTTGCGCATGTCATCAAGTAGGTTGCCACGGCGCGGGCTGTTCGCCGAGGCAGGTGATGGTTGGGAAAATGTCGAGGATGGTCAAACTAAGACCAGGAGACTTACTCATATAAGTCATGTTAGGTTTTCTGAATGGGGAGATGAAGATCAATGTAATCGATAGTTAGATGGACTGAATGATATGGCTGAGTGACGTAAACAGTAATGCTCGTGCATCTAGTCAATGTCCCTGCAATCTTAGTCCTAAGGAATTTTATATTTTCTCTCTAAGACTGACTTGGAGATTCCAATCTACCCTCTACTCCTTCATCCAAATGGGCAACCATGAGACAGCAACCAAAACCAGTGCATGAAAGTTCATGGTTAACGGTTGTAAACGGTGAACTGAACTGAGATGGAATTGATCAACTTCAGCCCACTCCGGACTATTTGGTTTCAAAGCAGGGCAGCATCACTTTGAAGAAGCAGAATACATACCGAAAGGAACAATCAAGCTTGCTAACCTGTCAAATTTCTGCTTCAGAACGACTACAGATGCTTGTTTGCGTGTCCATCTTGAAATGTAATTTGATCAATTGAAGAATATATCTGTCGGGCTTCGATATACAACGTCTGGTTGGTCAATCACGGGGAGCGTAGTTCTTTATTGTCCAACTGAATAACATTCCGGTCCCATTCAGATTAATAGTTTGCCAAATGACGTTTTTTGGTTAGCAGTCTCCAGTGCAGAAACCAAAGTCCTCTACTGCTCATCACACTAAGCTGATTGAAAAATTGTGCTCTAAATAAACTGGACAGCGATACGTAATCTACGAATATGATTTCAATCACACCTGTTTCCAGGGTGATCGTGTTGAATGAGCTTCACTATTCAACACTGGTTTGGTAATCCGTGTCCGCGAATGTGTGAATGTCTCGATACAAAGAGAGTTTTATTTACAGGTGAAATCAATGGAGTGAGTTTGCACACGCGCACTTGCAGACAAGTAAAACAGGCGAACACAACCCCAACAGTATTGACTATGGAGAATACCAAGGAGCACTGGTGAGTGAGAAAAAAGGCTGCAGTAGAACACACGTATATGTGAACGAACTGATCGGCAATGGATAGAAAAAAGGGAAAAATAGCTGACCAAAAGTAGTTAAGTTATCAAATCAGATGTACACTTGTATGTGGGCGTGTGAATGTATCTTATTCAGTGTAGGGATACTACACAACTGAGAGATAGAGGGAAAAAGACGTGTGTAATCGTGGACAATGATTGTCGAGTAGCAGCATCATCCCTCCGGAAAGCAGACACGTGTGTGTACGCGCGTGCGACAATGAGATCTGGTAAGAACAGCAAATGATTTATGGAAGCACTAACGTATTTCGCGATCAGGCATTGTACAAAAGAGTGCTCTGTTAAATTCGAAGAGGGAAAGAGATAAAGAGAACGGGACGTGTGCGGAAAAGGATGATATTATTAAAAAAATCTAGCATAGTAGACCGATGGAAAGTGCGAGCCGTTGGAGAATGGATTATTATAAGAATGTGTGCGTGCGGATCGTGGTAGATTATATCAAACTGCGTTTAATAATGTTGGGGTTATTTCCGTGCCCCGGCAAAAATCAATACACGCACTGCTAAAGAAGCGAGTGCGTACGGCGAAAATGGGACGGCTGAGAGAGAGAGCACATGGGATAGAATAGTGATGCATAAGGCAAATGGATTCGCAATCCCGGCAAGGCTGTATGATGAGAGATCAAATATCATAGTGAGAAACATGGTCTCCGATTATGCAACCAAGATCCATCAAAATGAACTAGAAACGTCTGAAACTTCCTGAAAATTGTGTTGAGGGAGAGAAATATAAGGCAAAGCGAGTACGTAAAGCAAGCGAATAAATCACTGACTCATTAAAACGGCGCAGTAAAGCGTTGGAAAACAGATGGCCACGGATTCTTAGTCGAGATGTACAGATATATGTGCAGTTCTAGAGAAGACCACCCATACATACACATATACATATACACACAAAAACCTCACAGTAAACGGTGAACAAATGACAGAGTAAATGAGATTTGGTTTGACTGAGTGAAAAGGGAAACGAACACAAGGCAACGTGGAGGGAAATGAGGTATGAAAAACTGTGAGTATTTAACGAACTGCTTCTCAAGAACGAGGTAAAATGGTGTGAGAAAAATCACTAATGGAAGCTCAAAAAGAAAATGAAAGGCAATACCAATAAAATTGACAACCGTTGGGCATAAACAGCTAAAGGGAAAGTCGTTATGAAAAGGACTGATGGCGAATCAAATGGATTAAAACTATCGCAAATGAAACGGACGAGTAACTGAAAGAGGTAGAGAGCGAGACGAGTTGAAAAGAAAAATATATATATGGTAAAGAAGTAAAACATGGAAAAATGATAATACAAATGCTAACAACTCCAAAAATGGAGAAAAAGAGATGAGAGAATTTTTAATTAATGAATAGATGGTGGAAAGAACGAACCAACGAATGAATGAATGGATGAGTTGATAAATGAACAAGTAAATTTGTGATGCAAGTTAGGCGGGATCGAAAAACGAATGGAGAGTATGGCTGAATGAAATAGCGGCGCTACTCGAATCAAGAAAAAATCCTTCTCCATTTCACTATCCAATCCAGGTCATCTGCAGAGGAAGGGGACAGAAGATTCGGAGGACTGGAGGAGAAAGAAACTTATCCAAACACCGGTGAGAAATGCTAGAATGAGGATGGAAGTAGTGGGGAACAAGGGTGGATTGTTTGTTTAAAAAAAATTAACTGTTTGGCTCAATGATTATTCATTGATCGATTGAGGAACTCAGTGTTTGCATCTGATGCACAGACGAAGCTTAGTCAGATTAGGAGAAACGGTGTTCTAATATCACGTAGGCGTGGCACATAGCATCCGAAGGGTTGATAAAATTCAGAATTCGTTTTGCTCGGCGAACCACATCATAGCACACTCTGAGGTGTGCCTCGGACAGGCGATCTACTCCAGTCTGGTGGTAGTGACAACGGCTGAATTCGATCCACACGCAACGGACCCTCAAGTACAAAGGAAGTGGTCCACGTAGGTGACGCCTCTGGACATGTGGCTGTGGATGCAACGATCGTCCCCATGGATTGAGTGTTCGTCACAGTGGTAGGGTGAGCGGCAGCCGCTTGTGTGTTCAGCACAGATAGGGCGTGCTGAACCTGTTGCATTGTGCCTACCAAAAGTAGACCACTCGATGTCTGTGGGGTATTGGCACGTGATGGTGATTCGATTGGCATCGATGGACAAAAAGAATTGGACAAACCGTTTAAATAAGGTTCTATGTGGTTTATCGTCCCATTGGGGCTGTCTGGGAGCTTCACTTGACTGATACTGTCAACGCCACCCCGCATTCTTTGATCAGTAATAGCGGTATTGGCCATATTCATGAAGGTGGGATTGTACCTGAGTTGCAGTAATCCAGGAGGTGTTAAACCACCCGGCGACGTAAATGTTCCCATCGTCGGGGTTAGGCCAGTCCCAATGGATGGATACGATAATCCGATATTAGCATCGTTTGATATATCAAAACTTGGCAGGGTGTAAACAAGAGGACTTGCTTGGAAATTGGCAGGTGAATGTTCGGAACCGACGGGAGCAGGGATAGTCGCACCGTAGACCGTCGAACCGGATAAATGGCTCGATAGGGCCTGTNATAATACGAAAAGCTAACTGTACACGGCTATCATTATAACCCATACAAACACAAAAGTCAGTATGGTGAATGGAACATAGTGAGCGTGGTAGAAAATCAGCCCTGAAATAGAAATCTTAGTTAATAAAGGACTGGCTTACCTGTGGGACTATATAAGAGTACTCGAGCAGACCATAGTCCGAAGAACTGGTCGAACAGGCTAAGACTGAATGTGGTGAGCCAGAATTCCCTGTGAAGGGCGCACCGGGGGCATCGAACCGAAGTAAAGGCACTGTACCTGTGGCTGAGCCAAACGCAGCTGGATAGGAAGGTGGAAAGAGCGCGCGTTGGGTGCTCGGATATGGACTGTACTGAGTTACCCGGTCGGGAGGTTGTTCTTCAATCGAGGAATGTAGTCGTAGGCTAGTGAGACTGGCAGTCAGAGCTGAGTCTGTTGAATCACCACTACAATACCGAGTGTGTGAGACGACACTCCTATCCCGTCCGGTCACGGTTGTCATTCCGGTTTCGTCGTTCTCTGTTGCCCCCACTTCAGCATCGAGTTCTTTTCCCGGTTTGGGCGAGTCAGTCACGATCTGAACTGGTTCGGACGGACCAATGGGGACTTCCTCTCGGTTTTCGGTTTGAACTGGTCGAAAACTCATCAGTATCATAGGTGCTGGAGTATCGGAATAACCAGGAGAACACGTTGTATCTGATGGTCCAATCTGGTGGTACGAGGTGGGTATAACACCCATGGCGCAGCGAGAATCAACCTGACCGGAAAAGTAAAAAGCCTTTGGTACCGAAAAAATATCGTGTTTTTATTCACAAGAATAACCTGAATCACAACGGGTCAAACTGATGACTACGTTTTAGTGCAAACACATAACTCGGGGTCCCACATATGCGGCTCGATTCTTCACCTATCAGTTACTAACATTGCATATTAGTGATGTGTGCGAAGACATAAATCTACATAGTTATAGATAAAACTTTAGCTCAAACTCTTTTTGTATATTTTATTGCTTGATTGATTTCACTGGATAGAGTAAAGGGAGGACCACGAGAAAAACCATTCGTTTTGCCCGAAAGTTAGTCCCCGAGACTCCGAACGGTACTGATCAGCTTCCATGTAATCTGGTAAGTTTATATGACTCGGGAAATTGGGTTGGGTATGGTACATTTGGTCTCGTCAAACAGCTGATAGAGCACAAACACGCTGTGTATGTACGCGTCCATTCCCACCAAGGCTCATGTACATTTCAAGAGTGGATAACAAAAAAACCCACTTGAAGTAGGCTAAACAATGTAAATGGGAAACTTTAGTCTAGCCCGAATATGCACCAGATTTTGATCGGTGTGCAACGGAAGTAACTGCTTCTCACGGTACAAATCAGTTATTATTCCTTTTACAAAATCGACGCGATCTGAGTGATGTCGGTCGAGTGGTTTAAACCGTTATTACTGAGCTTCAAGACCTAAGGTTTGAGCCTCAGGACTGCGCGCAATATTGAACAACAATCCTTGAAAAAGGATAGAGACAACCTGAGCGGCTTCGTCGTAGCCAATTTTGATAATACACTCGGCCTACTGATGTCTTAGTGATTCGCCAATCACTTGGATTGGTCGACGAATTTCATTATCCGATCAACAGGTTCAATGGTGTTTTCTTCTTCATTGTTTGTCACGACAAGGTATAGTAACCAAATAGAGAACTCGAACCCAGAACTCATTACCATCCTACGTTTTGACTAAAATTGTAGTGACGCGTTTGGAGTATGCAGACATCGACACATGAGATGCCGACGGAGACTAGCCAAATAACTTTTAAAATACTCTCTCGCTATCCTGGGCAGTATTGGTAAAGATCAACCACCGCGTTCTCGACTTTAATGATTGCTATATACACCTCGGTTCCACGAATCGTGGCTTCTAGTACAAAAAAACCGGTGGTGAGTGGCAATAGTTCACAACTATGCTTTAAAAGCTGTAGTTAAAAGCATGTAGTTAAATTTTTCAAATCAGACAGATATCACGCAATTCGAAATAAAATAAAAATCTGTCTTACACGCAAAGGACTACTAAACTGCAGTAAAGATGAGTGCTCTTCTGGAAGCAGAGTGGAACCGGGCAGACTAGTCAACAGTCCGACGGGGATAGTTGGCCTCGCAGTCATGGGAAGTCGGATAGGATTGAAGTGTCCGGTTTGGGGAAACCAACTTGACAGTGATACTGGTGCTGTGTTTCGGAACGACGCGGCCGTAGAATTGACTGAGGTCACCGTAAGCTCCGAACCATGGGGCACTGGGATCAACTTCGAGCGATAGTAGAACGAAGTGAGCAAAGGCGGCGGTGGCAGCGGGCATCCGACGGCCGAAGGCACCGGGATGGATGTCTGAGACGGAGTTGCCGGTGGGATACCGGGTGTGTTTAGCAAATGTGGTGACGCCGTGATAACACGAGGTTGAGGTGTGTTGTTCATAACAACCTGATTGAAATCAGGTTGATATGCGGAAGACATCATACCAAGGGCTGCCATTGAGGGACAAAGCATATAGAGTTTAGAAAAATAGAGCAAACATTTTAATGCATGCTGCATGATAATAATAAACGCAACCAGAATCATTTTTCTTACGACTGATTTCAGTCTACGAAAGTTTATCTAAGTATAGGCAACGACTCATCCTCATCCACAGAGAATTCTCTCACCAACTACATGTAGCAGCTGCTTGATGCCCTCCCAGAACGAGCGTACTTCCATTGCGGTGAGAATGGAATGCGAACTATAGTTATCCGAACTGAGCGAAAAAAAAACAGATAAGAATCATGTAGAACTCTGAAAAGAGGAATAGTTCTAACCAAAACAACTATAGACTATCAGAAGAACATGACGGTAATTGTGTTCAAACATGTGTCAAAGGGCACTCTGTTGAAACACTTTCGGTTGTTCTAGTCCTCTAATATGTTCACGATGGTGGATACAAGAGCTCTATTGGGAAAATAAAAAGGAACGAATAGACTGCGTACATCTACGAAAGCAATCAGCTATCATGTCTCAGACTGAAGCTCACACTTTACGTTCTATACTTCTCGGAAACATCTACGTAGCATGAAAACACATCAGTATTTGAAACCAGTATATTTCTTCTGTCCACCTCCATGATTGCACAAATGAATGTCTCTTGGAGTCTATCTTGATGAATCTCTCCTCGTCAAATTTGATTTTCAAAATTTAGTACATTTTCCAACCAAACTTCATGAACTACTAGACTTAGTTTTTACAAACAAACCACATTATTTTAGTGTCCAGAAAGTTGCACCGCTTAGTAGTTCTGATCAACTTTTACTTCAATCACTCCTACCCATGGATAGCTGTTTTCACTCAGCTATTTCTCGACGTCACGTGTAAAATGGCGCAGACGGACAGCACAGGCCCACAAACATGGACAGAGAAGACAAACCAAGAGGCTTAGAAAGTCAATCAAATGTGGACCTAAACGTCTAAATGAGTCGCATGAGGATACCATCTTGGAGAGCTTCATTTGCCGTAGCATGTTGAGAACTATAGAACTATATGGGGTAGCAACAAACAACTGATAAATTATGAACTTCGAAATGCTTCCTAAGTGCATGAGAATTAGGCCCGAATATGATGGATGAAGTCTTAAAGATGACCAGTCAAAACAGAACCGTCAATGCTGTAAGAGCCACACATTCTGACTTCGATCCATGTTGTTCTGAGTGTATAGCTCTGTCTGCCAACAACTATAGAACACAGCATGGTCACCCTCAAACGTTGGGATCTAAAATAAACAATCATCCTCCCTGGTCTGGAAGAATTATCACCTGTGAAACCTAAGGAATATGCGAGCACTTTTCCGGTTACACTAGCTAATATCCCGAGTGAATGTAACAAGCAAAAAAATTTGACATTGCAACCCTGGCAGAGATAAAGTCGAATGGAAATCAGAAAGTAGCATCCCATAGCCTGCATGTTAGTCGTGGTCAAACTAATCGAGAAGACCTTAGCCACCGTAGGTCACTACAGTTTGCCCAAAAACACACATCAGTTTGTCTACCTATTTATTGGGACATCTTAGTAAATCGGAACTTACACAAAGCGTAAAACTATCCCAATGGTGTTTATCATACCAAAAAGGCATGCAGAAGTCGTGATCGACCAGTATTACAAAATGGATTCAGTAAAAGTGGTGTTAATCCGAAGGCCTACCGGTTAATAAGCGACTATTTCATACATTTAAGGCCATCCACATGCTTCAGCGACAAACTTCTCTGTGCCCTGTAACTTCTTGTGTCTAATAAGGCGTACTCTTCTTGATTTTCCTTTTTCTGTAAGCTAATCAAATCCGCATGTTTTCAACATTTATTTGATGCAAATATCCAAACGATGTAGTTTTCGAATTTCGATAACCCACACATGAGTTTCTATAAGACAGCGGGTAAAACTGGCCCCGTAGATTCTCCGTGAGACGTACTCCGTAATAATATCCCTTAGGGCGAGCACGGAGAAAAGCGCAGTTTCTGAGAATATATAGGGTTTTTAAGTGAAAAAAGTGACATCGGTTGCTGTGACCTTAAAGTAGTGTCTCGTTACTATAATGCTTTCTCGTATTGTTATTTACCGCATAAAGCTGTGTGATAAAGAAGACAAGTCTTGACTAACCTATCTCGCCATTGCACAGTCACAGACTATTTCCGATCGGTATGCAGTGCTTCAGAGGTGTTTCTGTGACCGGTGTGATACTAGGTTATCCCACACGGCAAGTCATGCTCCAAACTACAGTGTTTATTACCAACCAAGTGCAATAAATTGATCATGGTCTAGTTCACGCGAGCCTGGGTTCAGATTGAACCAAATAAAGCACAGTACAACAATCCTTACAACAAAGAAATCCATCCATGATTTTCTCGTAGGCGAAATACCACCAGATGAGTCAAACCAAAGAGTGTGAGTTTTCTTGGCGTATTCACCATTCGATTCTCAACTAACCAAAGCCTGACCTGTCAGGCAGCAGGGCGATGCTTAAAAACCATAGTCCATTGGGGGCTGATGTCCGGTTTATCGGGTCATACGTCCTTCAGACGGGGTCCAAGGTGTCCCATACATCTCGATGCACAATCAGGTCAATGATCACGGCCACGGTGTGCTGGTGTGGTTGGTGTGCCCCCTCTTGATTCGTTTGGAATTAGGGTTTTTGGTCAGCTCGTTTAAGTGAAGTGCCAGTGGTAAACCGACTCGGGCAAAGCCTTGGATATTGGCTTTCCATCCTNGATAGTGGGTAGGGCTTCCTTAGCAGAAACTATTAGAGACAGGAACAGATGGCGGGGTGCTAGAAAAAGGTGACCAGTCACACCTCAAGACACCCACCAACAAACACGAAGGGGATTTCGGGGGCCCAGTAGCATCAACTGATAACATTTATTTTTAGCTGACTGGCCTCTGTGTGAGGGTAAGTCAAGTTCATAGATAGGATCATGAAGCAGCCTTGGGCTGTAGCATAAAGTCTCATCCTCTGCACAAAATTAGTTTTGATCTTTCTTCTAGTCCTTGCACAACCAAGTGCTCCCTGTAGAGCAAGAGAGGGCCGACGAGGGCCATATTCGGTCACGTTACAATGCTTTCTACGGACATTTATGGTTCTGATTGCAGAGATTCCTCATGAAGCAAAAGCCAATCATCACATCCTCGGACCTAGTCGTTTATTGTCTGTGACCACTTAGCCAAATAAACAGAGCCCGCCTGTTCTTGGTTAACTATTAGGAGGCTGTTCTCCTACTACCGATCTTGAGACGTGCCCAATATTGTGCAGATTCATTGGCCTTAAGCTCGTAGAGGACTACGGATGATGTGAAGTATCTAACATCACAACAGTTGATTTTAATCTGACTTCAAGAGCAAGAGAGAAAATGTTTGAACCTTATTTCGCACACGCGCGAACAAACGCTTACCTGAAGGAGAAATGGCAGTAACCTCCGGTGTGGCAAACGTGAAGAGGATAGGAGAGAGTGAAGCTTGCAGAGTCGACGCAGGATTACGATACACAGTCAGAGAGTCTCGACTGAGCAGTGAGTTTGAACCACCTTCGTATTGTTCGTAGGAAATTGACTGATCGGTCGAGTAGTTACCGGATCGCAGATCACCACAATCGGGGGTCGGATTCATAGGGCTATCTGTATTGATGACATAAGCGTGGTTCGATGGGCCAGTTTCAAAATGACCGTTCGTTTGCATATGGGTATACGAGCAATTGGGACAACTGGCTGAATGAGGGTCTTCGGCAATTTTCGACAAAATCATGGATACCGCAGCCCGTCGTTCATCAAAATCGCCTATGAGACGACGAAAAGTAGCGTACATGGATTATCTAAGAAAGCGAATCGAATGAGCATACATTTGGCAAAATCTTGGACACGTGAAGGAAAAACTACACGCGGAAATTTCGTGACAAACATCAACGTAAATTGTTTATCAGTGAGAGAGAAATTGTCGAGGGGTTCACTGTGACAAACTCCCCTAGGTCACGGTGTATTTTCCTCAAAAAACATTGATTATGGGGGCCAAGCAGACGAGAATTCCACCATAGTTTGTCTGTCGTGTGCCGAACTGACACCCAGTATGGTCAGGAACAAAACCCGACACAGACCTCAATTCTAACCTTCAACACACTCCCCACTCTCATTGTGTACTTTTACCATTGGATTATTGTTCACTTATTGCAATATTCGCGGATATATGTTCATTCCGAAAGTCATCATCTACGGTTTCAAGAGATAACTTTCAAACAGAGCATTGCAGAAATAATCTGGAATTGTATTGAAAATAAGTTCATGCATTCCGATTTTAATTCTAACTTGAGTCATTTAAATGCGTTGTGGCCTTCCTTTATACAACTGATTGCTTTTCAACTCTGAATGGGTATGTGAATCTTGTCACCATTGGACTAGCAGCTGAACTCAGCGTAACGGATTTTACGGTTTGAGTAGGGTTTTCGCGACAACTACCTTTAATCCTTACACATGAATAACGTAGTATTTAAAGGGTTAATTCTGAAAAGTCAATTACCAGCAATAAATACGTGAACGTGATAGTCCCCGGTTGGAGGATATGAGCAAAATCATGATAGAGAGAAAGAGAAAAGGCGTTATACATTATTCACCTGTGATTATGATACACCGTTCGAGCAGCCTTAAATCTTTCGACCTCTGAGATATGTGAACAACAGCACCGCTTTTCTCCTTGATCTGCTTGATGAACGAGCCCGATTTACCAATGATAATTCCTGCAGTGGTGTTCGGAACGAGGATCCGGATCTTGCGTTGATCATGACCAGTAGCCAAAGAGGAGACGAACAAAATAATGTCATCAGCGTATTACAGTGATTATATTGCAAGTGAAGAATTGTCGGGGCAGTCACTATGTTCAACCTTATATTCATGATACAATATCTATTTACGAAGCAACGAAACCCAAACACATCCCTACTCAGAGATGTAAGAAAATTTTGCATACTGTTGAACACGAAAATTTTTGTTGGGGAATAAGTCAAAGCAAAGCACGACAAAACCTTAGAAATAATTTTATCATGGCTGAGACGTGTCGCATTCCTGGTCTGCGAAATGATTGACCACATGTGATGGGTTGTTTGTTTTGAACGTATCGACAGGTAGGTGATGCTTTCCTATCCATAACTGTTGGACAAGAAGAGTTAGTCACGTTTTACAGTGACACGAGGCGGACAATTGCCGCAAATGGAGAAATGAAAAGCACTGGTATTCAGACAATGGCGCATTAGCATATATCAAACCACTATCCCTGCGGGAATATCAAAATCAACGATTCAGTGTTGTCCACTGGTTGCCAATCCTCGTAGCTCGGATAAAAAAGTGGATACCAAATCACTTTACTCGAGAGAATAAAACTATCAGCTACAGAGCAGATAAAACTGGGTTTGGATTAGTAACAACTACGAAAGAGACACTGCAAAACCCTTTATTCGCTCGGATACCATAGTGCACCCTTTTTGCAACCTAATTAATGCAGATAGTACGTATGCTACCTTACACGAGTACGTTTATGAAATCTCTGTCATCATGCAACCTGTACATTTCGCAAGTTAACACAAGAGAAACAAGTTGAAGGTTCAAATAAGGTGTTGAAAAAATGAGAGAAAATTATCGCAGACTGGCAAGAGGATTACAGACAGTACAGTGGTAGATAAAACTAATAAGCCTTTGAGTTCAACGGTCAATATTCGCTTCCTATTTGGAAAAATCGATGGAAGAGGAGTAGCCCTCATACGAAGGGGTACAAAAATGAACGGATATCAACGCTACAAAGATGATAGTGATCTGAACAAATTGCCCACATAAGCATACAGTTGCCTGGTTCTAATTCACATCAGGCTGGCCAAGTCATCATTGTCTGAAATCAGGGAGAAGTTGACGGTTATCTCAATAACAATTGGAGCAAATAGAATACCCTAATCTACAAACACTGGACGGAAAAAGTCAGTTGCTGAGTCAATGACTACGAGAAACGTTTTGAGTGGATTTTGTTATGCAACTGTCTGAAAAGTGTACACCGGTATCGGAAATTATCATATATCTTCTGTCCATCTTCGTGACTGCACAAATGAAT